ATATGAAACACAGCACACTTCGGCGCGGGAGTTGGAGGAAGAGGGGGCATTTGCCCGGATTTGTGAAATATTGTGAAGCCATGGAGTGATGCAGTCAAATTTCGTAGAAACTACGCGACAACTCTTGTCAGGATTACTGCCCCTCTTGTGAACTAAAGAACACCACAGCGGGAAGCAGCGAAAGTTCAGAAGGCTCCTTGAAGCCGAATGCGACTCAAATGCTCATAAGGCTGCAAGAGTTCTCTACAATTAAGCGCATAGGTTTGCCCTTTCGTCTTGAACAGAGAGTACATGAAAACCTGGTATACCACGGGTGTGCCTAACCTAACAAGGGACCTTTCAGATCATGATGTGCCTTTTAATAATTTTCTTGTTTCTCCAATTGTAGGAAAGTGGAGTTCATGTTTGCTTGCAAGCTTTTGGAAACACTGAGAAAGTAATGAAAACTGTCTTGTGTGCAGTCACCTATACCACCTCAAAGTCTACCATTTGCAGACAAATGGTAGATTTAGCGGAGGTGGTGTAAGTGGCAGTATGGACTAGAAAGGAGAAGCCAATTAATGTGGGAAGTAGTTTAACACATTCCGGACCGACGCCTATTTCGCGTGGCATTCACGTGTGACCGCGGCCTTTTTCGATGCGAGGCTGGCGTGACACACATGGTGTGTCATGTGGCCACACGGGGCAGGTTTTAGACGCGATTCTTTCTCCTTGGTTACTTCACACGGAAAATTTGCATTTGGGGGTTCTTTCATATGCCAAGTTCTCGAATATGACATTCATTTTTGGCGCTGGCGCCACCGGGCGCTTATTTGGCGCCACGATCGTTCTCTACGAAATTGACGTTACTTTGCATTTGGGGGCATTCAGGAATCACGTGCACGTATGACATTTGCTCCTCGCGCTGGCGCCATTTGGCGCCAACGGGCGCCAGTTTGCAGCGGCTCTCTTGAAGAATATCACGTAACTTTTCATTTGGTTTTTTCATTGATATGTGAAATGTGAAAGGATTTATTGGTGAAACACGTGCTAAAATAACAAAACTTCTGCTTCAACTTCAACAATTCGCTGCATGGAGAAAGATTCTCCGCCGCAAAGTATGAACACATCACATCTGATTTCATCGGAGCGAAACACGAATATTACATATGCATTTATTCTAGTTCGTAAGCTTACATTGTTTCGGTGAAGAATGTCATAGCGCTAAACTGGCGCCTTGTGGCGTCGCGTGGAGTCACCATTGAAGATAGAAGATGCTCGTAATCAGAGACCTTGCTAACCTCCAAATGCATATTTATATCCTTGGAAGATGTCATAACGCCGTACTGCGCCAATATAGCGCCAGCTTCAAGAACGAATCTCAATTCTGTGATCAGAATCCCTGATCATCCCTCAAACGCATGTTTCCTCGATTGGATATGGTGCAAAAGGCCGCAGCGCCAAACTGGCGCCCAGTGGCGCCAAATAAAGCGGACGCTATAAGGGTGTGCCAAAATCATGATCGGGACAGTGAGTGGCCTCAGTAGATCAGTCTATCAGCTAATTGTTTTATGTGCGATGCATTTATAGAGAATGATGGTCTTATGAATCGGTCACACTTCAAAAAAAATATTTTACAAATAAACTATCGGAGCTTTTCATGGCCCAACCATACACAGGAATTCGTACCCCTACAAGGATATATAACAACTAAGAGAATTCGTGCAACAGTCAAAATATAAGAAAATTTCAGCCT